TATCCCTGATCTCCTTTTGCTCAAGGGTAGAGCTCTGCCCTTGAGGCACAAGCCCAACCCATGGGCATATTTTCCTGTGATCTCTTAGAAATAAGAGTGTCTAGCACTTTCCTGCCCTGGCTGAATTCAAATTGACATTCTCTACACCTCAGCCTCTTGAGGAGCTAGCATTAAAGACAGGAGCCACTGACATCTGGCTTTCTTTTCTTCTTGTTGTCCATTTTATAATCATGATAATCTGAAATCTTCACAGTGTCATTCCAATTGTTTACATTTGAAATAAATCATCTAGGCCTGGAGTTAGAATGCCAGGACTGCCACCCACAAATGGAGGGAGATCCTGACAAACTCATTACTATTTATGTAAATGCTAATGGAATGTTATCCAAGTAATCAAAGTAATAAAAAATTTGCAGTTAATTCATGATTCTATTTTAGAATGCCACAGAAAAATTATTGAACTTTTATCTTCCATTCTAGCATCATGGTGTGATTCCTCTAATGGAAGGATTTTGACTAATTTTTAATTAATGCTTTTATAAGTATTCAGCCATGATACTTCATTAAATGGAGACATAACTTAAAGTAATAATTGGTAACTGTATATATATATATATATATATATATATATAATTTAATGATATCCTCACATTCTCTCTCTAAGTGTGTATATCTATACATACATATATATATATATATATATATATATATATATATATATATATATATATACAGCAATCTACACATCTATCAATATATATGTTGGGCACTATTGTGGCTTGATCACAGTTCCTCAGAATTTCCTTACAGCTCAGTTTGCCAGAAAATGGTGAGCTAAGACTGTGACCCCATTTATGTTTTGGGCATTCTAGGCAATGAGTTGAAATCCCAGCATGGCCAAAAATTTATTCATGGTGTAAGAAGCCACTTTTGACACATTTTTTTTCCTGAAAAATATCCTGGGTCTCAGTATGATATATAATCCATATGCAAGTATATCCTATGTGATAGGATGTAATAAATGAAATGTTATGCATGTAATAATACTAAATAAATAAGTGTAATAAACATCATACTCACTAAACCCATGCATGTAAATAAATCTCATATATGAATATTATTTTTTTCAGTTCTGGGGCTTCTATTCAGGCCCTGGGAACTGGTCTAAAATTTCTTGTCTTCAAGGACTGTGAGCTTCCCCTTCAACCACAGTGCCACAGTGTTACCCAGACCCTGAGTTCAAATCGTAGGCCTGCCAGAAAAGTGGTGCAAATTCCCAGCCAGGCCTTTTTTCTTCCTTTGGCCTAGCACAGGGCTTGAACTCAGGTCTTGGAATCTCTGCCACAGCTGACCCTTGGATCCTTGGATCCAAGTTCAAATCTCGGGGTAGGCTAAAAATAAAAAATAAAAAAGAGAAGGATAAAACAGAGAAGTTCAAGAAGGTGGTTTTGCATTTTTTCGCCTTTGCATTCTGACCATCCTGGGCCTAAATGAAAAGGCCCAGAAAGTGTACATGACCTTGCGTGCTGATGTTTGTCTGGCTATTAGGAAAGCCATAACCGAAACTTCAACTTAGGACTGGGGGTCGAATCCTGGGACTGCCACTAATGATTGTTGGGAGATTCTAAGAAATGCATGCCAATATATATCCATACAAATGGAATGTTATAAAAGTAACAATTAAATTAATAGTGTGTGAGTATACTATAAAATTATACACAATAATTATGCTACTTTGACTAATTTTCAATTAATACTTTGTTATATATTCAACCATGATACTTAAAATTTGAAGGAATAATTTGTCAATAATTACTACTAATATATGTAATTTCATAATATACAGACAACTTTCTCTTGTTTTATACATATGTATACATATATATGTATATATAGATGTCAATCTACATATTTATCTGTTTATACACTTGTCACTCCTGGGGTCAGTTGTATAGTGATGGCTTGTACATACAAAGCCCTGGATTCGATTCCTCACTACCACATGCACATAAAAATCCGGAAGTTGTGCTGTCACTCAACAGTAGAGCACTAGCTTTGAGCGTAAAAGCATAGGGACTGTGTCTAGCCTCTTACTCAAGACAAAGTACTGGCACCAAAATAAGATTGAATGTTGTGACTGCAACTCTATAAGTATAGGACTTCAAATATCTCATCACAGAGCAAGCCATGAATCTGGTGCTGACAGCTGCCATCTAACCTGACTTAGACAGAGGTATGCCACTGCAACCCAGCTCCACAGGACCACATGCTGCTGGCTCGCTCATCCCTGTCATCCAAGATATTCGGGGGCTGAGATCTGACACTGCTGGGTTTAAAACCCAGCCCTGGCAGGATGTTTGTGAAACTCTGTGCTGTGGTTCAAGCAAAAGTTCTTAGGACAGTACCCCCAACATTTTAGTGCAATCCCTATGGCTGAATACCCCCCCCCCCCGCAGAAAAAAACCCCACCAATCTCAATCATTAGGTGTAAACTTTGTGCAGTTTGTGATGTGTTTCTGAAAGAATGGTGATACTGATGAAAGCACCCTAATACTAATGACAGCTTGTGGGAAACAGCTATGTGATGAGTCCTTCCTGAGGTGCTGGTTCATTCATGCGGTGCTGTGTGCTGAGTCCTGCTCAGGATGCCATGTACTGAGTCATTCACAGGGTGCAGTGTTCTGAATCCTGCATTGGGTGCTGGGTGCTGAGTCTTTCACTGGATGCTGTGTGCTGAATCCTGTAAAGAGTGTTATGTGTTTTGTCCTTCAAAGGGTACATTCTTTCATCTTCCCCTTGTAATAGCTCCACAACTTGGATGATTATGCAGACAAGAATATTGAGGCTCAGATATGTCCCCATGGCAGGGACAAAATTATGTATTACTGAAGAGTAGTGAGTTGTCTACTGCAGACAATTGCTTTGTTTTGTTTTTTTCTCAGTCATGAACCTTGAACTCAGGGTCTTGGTGCTGATCCTTACCTCTTGGACTCATGGCCAGCACTCCACCATGTGGAGCCAAGGACCCCCTTGCAGCAGAGTGCCACAGCTGAGGGTTGTATAGCCAACGACTGTCATCCTGGCTTCTCAGGAAGCTGAGATCAGAGTATCTGGATTCCAAACTATCCCAGACACAAAAGGTCCCATGACACTATTATCTCCAATTCATCACTAAGAAACGTGAAGTGGAAGCTGGGTGCTTGTGGCTCATGCTGGTCAACCTAACTACTCAGTAGGATGAGATCTGAGAATCATGATTCAAAGTTAGCCTGGGCAGAAAAGTCCATGAGACACTTAGCTCCAATGAACCACCAGAAAACCGGTGGCTCAAGTGGTAGAGCACAAGATTAGAGCTGAATTGCTCAGGGATAGCACCCAGAACCAGACTTCAACTCATACAACTGACAACAACAAAAAAGACATAAGCAAACTAACAAACCTGAAGTAGAGGGCTAGGAATGTGCCTTAGGGGTAGAGTGCTTTGCATACATGAAACCCTAGGCTTGATTACTCTGGACCACATCACTAGAAAAAAGCCTGAAGTGGCTCTGTGGTTCAAGTAGGAGAAGGCAATCCTTGTACAAGAGAAACTAGATACAGTGCTCATGTCCTGTGTTCAAGCTCCAGGACTAGTGTATGCACATAAACACTCACACGCACGCTCGCTCACTCACACACACACACACACACACACAGAAAGAAGAAGTGAAGGTGTGACACAAAGTGGGAAAGCAGTAGACTTCTACTCTGACATCATGGTCAGCACCCACGCCCTGTGTTTAACCCCAAAACTTAGCCTCTAAGGGCCCAACTAGGAGAGGTCAAAGGTTTCAAAACCTGATGAGCTTCACCAGCCCCACATGACAGGAAACTTTGTGATATCTGACATGTTCTTGGATTTCCCAATGTTCTGGAAACCTAGCAGAGGCATCATAGGCCCATCATCGTAGGTAATTAAACATTTAATTAGGTTCAGTGCCCTAATTGTCTGCCAGAAGGACTCCTGAATTATATTGAGCCCTGTATCTGAACATCAGAATATAGTCTCACAAAGGCAGGAGAAGTGCACAGAACTTGGCCTTCCACGGGAGGTGACACAAATGAAGGCTTCCTGTCAAAATAGAGCACTGGGGAGAGAGATTGCTTGGCTTTCAGAGACTGCCCACAGTCCTCCTCATTAAGTGGCCCAGATGGAGTTGCTTGTTACACAGCTGTACAGGATTGAGGCCTTTTGTCTGCCTGTCCAGACAATGAGAGAGACTTCTTCCAGCAGGACTGGGGTGCAGAGCAACCTTCAGGCTATACTGCGAGCAGTAAGGGGAGCCCTGGAACATGCAATGTCATAAAAGCATTCTCTGTGTTATGAACTCATAGTATTGAATACAAATTTCCTAGCTTGGTGCCATTCATCATAGCTACTCTGCTCTGGAGCTTCATCTGTAGGAATACATCCATACATAGACAAAGACGTGAAAATACAGGCTCTTTTTGAGGGGGCAGGTCCTGGGGTTGAACTATGAGCGTGTGCTCTGTCCCTGAGCTCTTTTTACTCAAGGGTAGTGCATTAAGCTTGAATCAAAGCCCACTTCTGGGTTTTTCTGTGATCTCTTAGAATTAACAGTGTCAAGGACTTTCTTACACTGGCTGGATTCAAATTCAGATTCTCTACATCTCAGCCTCCTGAGGATCTTTGATTACAGTCAGCAGCCACTGCACCATCTTTCTTTTCTTAATTTTTTCATCTGGACAATCTGACTTTTTAGCGGGTCATTCCAATGGTTTGAACTTATAAGAGACAACCCAATGTTCTTTATAGCTGCTTTCTCGGGGAATGATTTTCTCTCCTCATCTTCCACTCTGGTCACAGGTTTGAAGCCAATAGTGAGAAATGAGTGTCATAGGATTGAGGAGCAAATGTCCACAGAACATGCCAGTTCTGTCACTTAGCATTGAGCTGCAGTGAATTTACTGTCTCAGGATGAGAGGACCAAAAGCTGGAGCGATCTTGATACTGTCTGCATTGCTCCTTTTGCCTATAAAATGATCTAATAATTATAAGTGTTGTGCGTCTCCAATCTTAACTATCTAGAACACACTAGAAGTATCTGCACATTTCTATTTTTAGCTAGTACCTCCTGAGATTTAGATTAAAGGTTTGTGTGGAGCGGCTCCTTGGCATATCCCTGAGGAAAGCTGCTTGAAGCCTCTTCTGGAGATCGCCTTCCAAAGCCAGCCCAAGCAGGAAGTCTGTGAGACTCTTATTGCCAATAAACTACCAGAAAACCAGAAGTGGAGCAGTGGCCGAGAGGGTAGAGCTCCAGTTTTGGGAGAGAAAGCCTAGCAGGAGATACAGGCCAGACCAGGCAGGAAAGTAAGGGAGGTGCTTATGTCCAATTAATGACCAGATGGCTGGAAGTGGAGCTATGGAAGTAGTAGAAGCTCAGCCTTGAGCAAAACAGCTGAGAAGCACATTGTACCCTGAGTTTAAGCCCTGAGATGTCCAAAAAATAAAATTCAAAAAGAGAAGTCCAACTTTATGTATCAGTGCCCTACTTACTTACTTGGGTATGTTACTTCCTTGAGTGCAAACAGACCGTATGCAAAGCTTCTGCTTTCATATACTGATTTATTTTACAGATATGCTTGTTACGCATACTGTATCATTCTCTTTATTTCAGCCCCATTGCCTTGCTCTTCCAGGGTTCCAGGCTTCTGTCCTTATACGATGCACATTGCAGCTCTCAGCAACCTATAGTTACATTTTATTATGAGGCCAATCCAGGAACAGTCACAAATAAGGCAGGGGAAGAGAAGATCAGGGTTTATAGAAATAACCTGTATTCAGAAAATTACACTTGGGGACACAATCTGTAGCATACTTATGTAAAAACTACCATTAAGAATAAAAGATGAGGGGGCAGGGAACGTGGATTAGTGAGAGAGTGCTTGCCTAGCATGCAAGAAGCCCTGGGTTCTATTCTTCACTAGTATATACAGAGAAAATCCAGAATTGGTGCTGTGGCTCAAGTAGTAGAGTGCTAGAGCTAGTGCCCTGTCTTTGAGTTCAACCCAAGAAATGTCAAAAAAGATATATAGGTAGGTAGGGAGGGAGGGAGGGAGAGAGGGAGATAGATAGATAGATAGATAGATAGATAGATAGATAGATAGATAGATAGATAGATAGATAGATAGATAGATAGATAGATAGATAGATAGATAGATAGATAGATAGATAGATAGAAAAATGATACATGAATCTGGTCTTGGATGTCAGGAGGAAATAAGGGAACAATTCCTAGTCATGAGGCCTTCTGCAGTGTGCCAGGACACCAGCATCGCCTTCACACAACCACAGAACAGGAACACTGTCTCTTTCCCACTTCTCTGGCAGATGAAGGCCCCAGAGCCAAGAAGGCAAAGCCAGGTTCTAACTCAGGTGCTTGGAAACAGAAGAGAAACGGCCCTCCCTGTCCTTGGACTGGGGATTTGCATTAATGATATGGACAATGAAGGAAGGAGAATGGACTGGCAGAGATAGAAGAAGGGCCTTGAAATCTGACAGATGTAGAGTCAAAAATCCACTCCCTACAAACAGAGAGCAGGGTTTTTCTACTCTGTTCCTGCCCTCTCTCTCACTAAACTGACTCTCGATTGGTAACCTAAAGATAGCCTGAGGCTCCCTTCACCTAAGGGAGGAAGGTTATTCATTGTTTGAAGAGGCTGAGAAAGCCTGACAATGGTATAACTCTAACAAATGTTTCAGGTTTCCCCTCATTGCTGGGTGTGCCTGGAATGAATGAATGAAGTGGTTTGCAGCTCACTTCCCAGTTGAGTGTGTATCTTCTGCCTCTTTATCCTACAAGCCTAGCTCTCTCCACCTAGCCTGGCTTTTGATACTGTTTTCTGTCCTTCAAATACAGTGTTACAATGGAGTTCTTCCTGCTAACAGGGCTAGGGTTTGAATCCTGAGAACTTCATTTGAACCTTGCATGGGTCAATGATGTTTCTTTCCTTCTTCTATAGCACAAGAATTCTAATAACATTTAGAGTTCAAGTAACTTCTCATCACCAAGGGAAACACAAGAAGCTGTTGAACATCTGACCTTACAGAAGTGGAAGTCAGAGTATCATAGACTTTCCTGTCCTGGTTGGCTTCACCCTGTAATCCTGAGACCTCAGCCTCCTTAGCTAGGTTGATGAGTGTGAGCTACTGGTGTTCTGCTAGGTTCAGGACTGTAATGACATTGACAATACAAGTCAACTGCTTATCACAAATGGCTTGGGAAGCATATTAAGCCTTTCAATATTGGACCATTCAGATCCCTTTAGCACACAAGGTTATAATGCTAGAATCTGAGAGGCTGGGCAAGTGGATCTGCTACACTTGAGCCTTAAGCTCTGACTCCAATTCTGGTTTACATCAGTGTTTATTTTCCAGGGAATGTTCTCCTAATTAGCAGATAGGAAAAGTACTTTGATTAACCCTTACTTTTTTCCTGTTGTGTGTCTTGTATCAAGCCTGGGCCCTGTCCCTGATCAATTCAGCTCAAGGCTAACACTCTACCACTTGAGCCACAGCCCCACTAGGGTTTCTTTTTTTGGTGGTACATGGGACATAAGTCTAACAGGCTTTCCTTGCCTCGGCTGTCTTTGAACGGTGATCTTCAAATCTCAGCATCCTGAGAAGCTGAGGTTCCAGGTATGAGCCACCCGCATCTGGCCAATTGTTTTTGACAGTCCTGGGGCTTATTTTTTTTCAAGGCTAGCACTCTGTCATTTGAGACACTCCATTGCTTCTGGCTTTTTCTGAGTATGTGGCACTGAATATTCAAACCCTGGTATTCATGCATGTTGAACCAGCTGTTTACCACTAAGCCATATTTCTAGGCTCGCCCTTACAATCTTATCCCACAACTTGCCTGTCCTGAAAAAAAAAGGCTTCTGAGTATAAATCAGTAAAGAAATTCCTATAGGAAGGTGTTCAAAGATAAATAAGACAAAATTCATACTTGAGACACAGACTCTAAACATGTGAAAACTATTACAAATGCCTCCATTTAATTATGTATCATGTTTCAACAAAAAATGTTTTAATGAAAAATGAATCAATGTCCTAAATTATTGTGTATAATTTTATAAAAGATGTGCAAAATGCAATAAATATGTGCATGATAACACTAACTACAATACATAATAAATGAATGAATCAAATAAAAAATAAAATAAATACAAAATCAATAATAAAAATCATAATATGTAATAAACATAATTATGTAAGTATATATCCTATATTACACATGTGTAGAAATACCTTTTCCATTGCAGGGCCTCCATTCAGGCCATGGGAACTCTAGCCTGAATTTCATTTCGTCAAGGACAGTAAATTTCGCCTTCACCCATGGTTCAAAGGAGTTACTTGGATGGTGAGATCAAATCCCAGCAATGGTAAAAATATTGGCCCAGTTCCAAGATAGTGACTTAGTTTTTTAATGAAAGCAGTTATGTTTATTCAGTTACATACTGAACATTAAAAAAAGCAGTGTAGAATTTTGTACAGCTATTCAGACGTCCTTCCCTTACTCCCAAAGTGCTTCTCTGAACACTACATTGTTTTTTTTTTTGTATGTTTTTTATTGTAAAAATGTTGTACGGCGGGGTCACAGTTACTTGAGCAAGGTCATGAGTATATTTCCTATTGAGCATTTTTGCCTCCTCCTTTGTTTACCCCTTACCATCCCTTCCCTCCCATCTCCAAAACTACTCTCCCTGCCAAGCTGAGTGACTTATTTTTAGTTTTGGCTTTACATGGGGTTTGAACTCCAGTAGTGGCAAATCTGCACTTTCCCTCACATTGCTACAGATTTACCAAGATCCTGAAGTCCAATCCCAGGCTAGGAAAGAAAACTGACAGAAATTCCAAATCAGGGAGCTTTATTTTTTTTAATTTAGTTAATTAATTAATTTTTTTCTTTTCTTTTCTTTCTTTTTTTTTTTGCCATCCATGGGGCTTGAACTGAGGTCGTGGCAACTCTGCCTCAGCTTGGATCATCCTAGGCTAGGTGCTGCTTGGGACCCATACCCAATCCTGGAATCCTAGGCCCAGAGGGCTTGCAAGATGAAAAAACAGTGGGATAGAACGAAAAGTGGGGAGCTGCAAAGGGCTGGGGGTTTTATGTTTTTTTCTTTGCACAGTGCCCATCCTGGGTCTGAATCAGATGGCTGCAAAGTGGATCTGACCTGCCATATCTGAAGGCTGACGTACTATCAAGGAAATTATAGGACAACCTGTCAACATAGACCCTGGCTTCAAATCCATGTCATGACACCTGCCAATGGCAGGAGATCACAAGAGACTCATTCCTATGCATAGGAATACTGATTAAAGGAGAAGTTTGTGCATCGGTCGAGTCTAAAATTGGATGCAATAATCCTAGGACACTGATCGATCTCAATTAATACTTTATTAATCATGAAAAGAATACTATTCCTTTAATGGTGATATAATAAATACCTACCACTTGATAGGAACATAGTATATGTCATTCAATCATAGATAGGCGGCTATGGCTCTTTTTACCAATATATATTTATTTGTATACCACTGTCTGCCTATCCATGTATTGCTGTTTTGCACAATCCTGGGGCAAGATCTCAGCACCTGGGATCCACCTGACAGCTTCATTAGCTAGAGGCTGCTGTGCTCACACTCACCTATTCATGAATTGGGACTGCATGTCCCTGATTTCAGATCCTAGAGCTGCCAAAAATTTAATCTTGGATTAAGAAGCCAATCTGTTTTCCTTTTCCGGGAGAGTCCTGGGTGTCAGGCATGATTGAGAAGACATCTACAAATCTAGATGCTATGTGATAGGATGCAAACAATATAATACATTGTTAGGTGTCATCACAGTCAATAAAATAAATGGTAAATAAATGAATAAAACAAAAAATTCAATGAATAACCACCCCAAACATAATATAGTCTGAACATCTGTATGGAAGTTCAATCCTATCTTTAAAATGTATATAAGGAGTATGCTTTCCAGGGATAGGCCATGAATTCAGGCCTAGGGAACAGGCCTGACTTTCTGGTCTTCAAGCACTGTGAGCTTCCCCTTCCCGCACAGTGCAACAGAGTTACCTTACAGACAAAAAAATGCCAAACATTCCAAACAAGGGAGCTTCATTAGCATTTTTAGTATTTTTTAAGTTCACTTCACCTTTGTTTGATACATTTTGATTTTATAACACTAGAGTTTTTCAAAAAAGAGGTTTAAACTTTTACATTTCAGCATAGCACATTGGTGTTTCTATTTTGACCATCTTCCATGAAGAGTGAACATGAAAATAAGGACACCATTTCTCCCTAGAAGGTTGGGACAGTTGATTTTATTTATATTTAGAGTTATTTCTATAATTATAAATTCTCTACATTTGTGTCATGTTAGTTTTCCTCAGTGCCTACAACGAAATACACTAGGGGAGTGATAGCACAAAAAGTTGGGTTTCTGAATAAAAACTCACTTTTGTGAGGACAGCAGGTACTTGTAAGCATTTTGGGAATGAACTGGATTGTAAAATGAAAAACAAAAACATTGGGAGTGGGATGTAGTCAGAAGTGGAGCATTTGCCTAAAGATCATAAGACTCTGGCATAAATGTTTCCTAAGGCTCAAAGTGTTAGAATTTTATGATCTGTATGAACAAACTTTTTTTTTTTTTGGTCGTGGGTCTGAACTCAGGGGTCATCCCTGCACTCTTCAGCTCAATGTGAGCAATCTACTGCTTGAATCACAATGTTACTTCCGGTTTTCTAGTGATTTATTGGAATTAAGTGTCTCACGGACATTCCTGTCCTGACTGGCATCCTCAACTCTCAGCCTCCTGATTAGCTAGGATTATCGGTATGAGCCTCCGGTGCCAGGCACGTGCACAAACTTCTTAAAGATTGATTTTGAGGAAAGAAACCTGGAATATACTTTTAGTATACATAATTTATAATGCTATGTTTAAGGCACTAATTCAGAAGTATTTATTCATTGACTGGTTTCTTAGTTTATTTAAAGATATATTATATATATATATATGCATTATATATATATATATATACATATATTATTAAAAACGTAGCTTTGAAGTGTACCTAAGAGCATATGTGCTCATGTAAAATTACACAACTGCACAAGCTTCATTATTTTTTTTCCAGTTTGGTTGGTGCCATAAATTATGTGGGATTTTCTACTGTTGTTTTATTCTCTGTTTTTGGAGGATTTCTCTCCCTTTTATCTCCCTCGCTCCCTCCATGAACTTGAACTCAGCTTGCTCTTTCTCGGCTTGGTTGTTCATAGCTGATTTTCTACCACTTCAGCCATACCTGTAGCTGGGCTTTTTGCCAGTTAATTGGAGATGATTTCTGTCAGGCTTTTCTGCCTTCATTGGTTTTGAAATTTCATCATCCAGTTCTCAGGCTCCTGAGTAGCTAGGATTACAGATGTGAGCCACTGGGGTGCCTAGGGATAAATTAGACTTTGGTTGGTGTATTCTTTCTGTTTTTCTAAGCATGGGAGAATTTCAGTGAATGTCCTGGGTCTGAAGTAAGATATATAATACATATGAAAATCTGTATAGTTCTCATAATATGTAATAAATTTAATACGTGTTGTAAGTGTAGTAATAGTCAATGAATATAATGAATGAATAATACAAAAAAATAAATATGCAGTATGCAGTAAACATAAGTATGTAGATATTAATCATTTTTTTCAAGTGTGGATGAATATTACATAACAGGGCTGGGGATTGAATTCAGGCCTAGGGAACAGGCCTGAATTGCTTGTATTCAAAGAGGGTGAGTTTCCCCATTCTCCACAGTGCATTAGAGAGTCCAGATTCTGAGTTCAAATCCCAGGCCTGGCAGAAAAAAACGGACACGAATTCCAAGGCAGGGAGCTCCATTTTGTAAACTTGTTTAACCACTTTGAAAAGTAGTATGGAGATTCCTCAAAAGACCCCACATAGAGCTACCCTATAACCCAGCAGTCCCACTTTTGGGCATTTACCCTAATGTTTACAAACAAGACCACACTAAAGCTACCAGCATAACTATGTTTTTTGCAGCATTATTTACCATATCTAAGATATGGAACCAACCCAGATGCCCCTCAGTAGATGAATGGATCAAGAAAATGTGGTATATATACACAACGGAATTCTATGCCTCCATCAGAAAGAATGACATTGCCCCATTTGTTAGGAAATGGAAAGACTTGGAAAAAATTATATTAAGTAAAGTAAGCCAAACACAAAGAAACTTAGGTCCCATGATTTCCCTTATTTGCAATATCTAGTATATGTATGAGTCAAGCAGAAAAGGTCAGATAAAGTGATGTTAGGAAAATGAACCCTAAGATATGTATTTTAAATGTATTTTTCTTTCATGCATTTGTTTCTAATGCAATTTTAAGATTATTTCTTTGTTGCTTTGTATGTCCCTCCCCCACAGTATAACCACTGCTTTCACTGTATTTGATGTCGGTGTAATTTGTGGAGGAGAAGGGGAAAAACAAGTCATTTAAATAAGGATACAGGTGGACCTGTTGCAACAATGAGAAGTGTAAGTTGTCATGTCAAAAATGAACTTTACAGAGAGTTCCGAGAAGATGGCGGAGGAGAAGCTGGAATCTGAACAAGCTCTTGCATAGAAAACAGTTTCAGAGTTCCAGTGAACAGTCCCAAGCCAGAGAATCACACCAAGTGTGCCATCACAGGACAGAGAGTTAGTCAAGAGAGGGGAAGCCAAGCAGACACATCTGAGCAGCTGCCGCTGCGGCGGCAGGGTCGCAGCGGCGACCACCGCCGCGGAGGCATACCTGAGACGCAGTCCGGGACGAAGGAGCCAGACGCAGCGGACGAGCGGATTCTACTCAACACCAGCAAGAACCGACAAGGAGCGGAAAACTTCATCCTGCACTTTGCAGACCAGAGACGACCCGGGATCCAAGACTCCGTGTGAGTAGAAGCCCCACTTCCTCACTCCTTCTCTGGGAGCAGAGGAGGGAAGGCCACCTCTCCCCCCCAGCATCGGGAATCTCCATCTTGAATACCGACAAAGCTCGGAGGAGCGGCTAGCTCCAGCTCAGGCCTTGGAATAAAACGAGTCATTTAGCAGGTCACAAGAACTTAACGGCGAAGTGACCTCACAGACTCAGTTCCATCCAGGGAAAAGTCACCCAGCTCAGGCGCCAGCCATTGGAGTGGCTCTCCTCACTGGGTAACCAGAGCCAGAGGCTGCCCCGCCCTCTAGCAGCCACCACAATCAATTGAAAAACAGAAAGCCTGAGAATGGCTCCAGGCTGGGTGCTGTGAGTTTTTTTTTCACAAAATAGCCCCAGGGAAAAGCTACTGTTCGTTGAAAGGCCTCAACTCTACCCAGAACCTAGCCTCATCACTGCATCCCCCTCTTTTGTGATTCTCAAAGCAGATCACCCTCCCAGTAAACTAACCTGGGAGGGGGATCTCAAAATCTTGGGTAAAGCAGAGCATTTTTCTGCCTGTTCCAACAAACTGACTTAAGAAACCAATCAAGCCACAGGACCTCAAGCTGACCAGAGACTCCAACCAGACTCTGATTACAGACAAAAGGGAGATACAGGACTCTTCCCACCCCTCCCAAAAAAAAAAAAATCAAAGAACTTTTTTTTTCTTCTTCTTCTTTTCTTTTTTTTCTTTTTCTTGTTTTGTTTTTTTCATTTTTTTGTTACCTTATATATATATATAAATTTTTTTTTGCTTTTCTAAAACTTTTATTAATCTTTAATTTTTGCCTCTTCTGAAAAAATAATTGTTTTCCATTAACTTTTTTTTTTTTCTCCTCTTATAATTTTTATTTTAGGAATACGTGAATGTGTGTTTTCTTTTCTTTTCGTGTCTTCTTTCTCTTTTTCTTTCATTCTTAATTATCTTTTTGTTTTTTTTTCTAGCTCTACTGAACTTCTGATCTTTTCTTCTCACTTTCCTATCCTTTCCATCTTTTCCTCTTTGTTCATCTTTATGTGACTTAACTCTTGTCCTGCACATCCTCAGATAAACCCGTAGTTAACCAGTAGACCCTATCCCCCATTTTGTACACACTTAATCCACAAACTTATTACTCAATTCAAAACCTCTGAGACTTAAATTCATTAATAGCAGTACTACGTCTTTATACCTATATAATATTTTAAGCATTTTTTTAAAGTTTTTCTCATCTCCTCTATGTCCCTCCCTTTCTCTCAACATATTCATATTCCTCTATAAATAGATGGTCTTTTAATCTCTAAAATAACATTAATTTTTACGTTTCTATTTTATTTTCTGGTCTCTCTTCATTCCCCTTTCCCTTTCTTCTTTTTCTCTCTCTCTCTACTTACATCCTACCCAACCTATTTCCTGCATTGTGATTAGGACATAGTCAACTCTCCCTGTGCCTCCCCACACCAATCTATTCCTATTTTTTACCCACATCTCTCCCTAACCCTAATAATTTCTGGTTTTCCAAATTCTTCTCTGCGGTTCGAAGTCCTTTAACATAAAGTTGTTTGATGTCGAATAGATGTATCTGTTGAACTAGATTGTATCTGTAGACTATTGACTGTACAAATGCAAACTTTGATTGATGGTTGCCTTAAGATAGTGTTCTAGCACAAAACTGGTGTTATCATCATCTCAAATGGGCAGAGTAAGCCGGAAAAACACAAGAAAAATGGCAAATTCGGGTATCTCAATTCCCAATCCTGATAATCAGGGGTTAGAACAGATAATGAATAATCCAGAGGAGAGTTCCCAAACAGCTCTACAAACACTGCTGGCAAACATGATAAATGAAAAGTTTGACAACGTACAAAGGACTCTGTACGAGCGTGATAGGGAGAGAGAGGAGGCATCCCAGAAGTTTATACAGGAATATAATAAGCGTGAGGAAGCTACTCAAAAACTGATACAGGATTTGCATGAACAACTTGAGAATACTCAAAGAGAAAGAGAGGAATGGCGTGAGCAGGCTGAGAACACTCAAAGAGATCTGCAAGAATCCCACGAACGGGAGGAAGCTAATCAAAGAGTAATACAGGAATTGAGAGACCAGGTAGAGAACACACAAAAATCACTGAAGGCATTCATGGAATCCATTAACAAAGAGCTGAAGGAAGTCAGGGAGACCACAAAGGCAATGCTGAATGGAACCCAACAGAAGGAATGGGAGTCCAAAGAAACCATAACCAATCAACTAAGTGATTTGAGGACAAACACTGAACACCAAATTAAGGAAGTAAAGAAATTCATACAAGACCTAAAACAGAGCTTCAACAAAGAACTTGAAGCCATCAAAGCTGACCAACTAGAAGGAAAAGAGATAAAAAACAAAGTAGGGAGTCTTGACAGCAGGTTAGACCATGCAGAAGATCGAATCTCAGGGATTGAAGACAGCCTAGATATTATAGAGAAAGAACATACAACTATCCAAGACAAGTCCAAGAAATATGATAGATCTATCCAACACCTGGAAGACACCATCAGAAGGCCTAATCTAAGGATAATGGGTGTAGAGGAGCACCTAGAAACAGAAGTTAATGGTCTAGGAAATCTGTTTAACAGGATCCTAGCAGAGAACTTCCCAAACATGCAAAAAGATAGGCCTGTCCAGATACAAGAAGCCTTTAGAACCCCAAATAGACCAGACCAGAATAGGACATCCCACCGTCACATTATAATCCACACAGGATCAACTCAGACCAAGGAAAAGATCCTTAAAGCTGTCAGAGAGAAAAGGGTAATCACTTATAAAGGGAAACCAATTAGAATCACCTCAGATTTCTCAGCAGAGACAATCAAAGCAAGAAGAGCCTGGAATGATGTATGCCATGCCCTAAAAACAAACAACTATCAACCAATAATACTGTACCCAGCTAAACTCTCCTTCATAACTGAAGGCCAAATAAAAACCTTCCATAGCAAAGAAAAATTGAAACAATACATCTCCACCAAACCAGCCCTACAAAAGATTTTTAAAGATGTCCTACACATAGAAAACCAACAAGACCGCAATAAAGGCCAAGAAACTGCACCCAAACTGAGAATCCAAGAACCATAGGAAGAACCCAGTTTTCGCAGCCCCCAAGAAGGTAGGTAACATGGCAGGAACTCCCAAATACCTCTCAGTCCTATCTCTTAATGTTAACGGACTGAACTCTCCAATTAAGCGACATAGACTGTCTAGTTGGATTAAAAAACAAGACCCTTCTATCTGCTGCCTGCAGGAGTCACATCTTGCCCGTAAAAACAAACACATTTTCAACGTTAAAGGCTGGAACAAAATCTACCAAGCAAACGGCCCCCATAAACAGGCGGGAGTTGCAATCCTAATATCAGATAAAATAGACTTCAAATTAAAATTCGTGAAAAGAGATAAAGAAGGTCGCTACATACTAATTAAAGGATCTCTCCTTCAGGAGGATATTACAATTCTAAATATCTATTCGCCAAACAATGGAGCACCCAAATTTATCAAAGAAACACTACTTTCCCTCAAATCCCATATAGATCCAAAGACATTAATTGTTGGGGATTTTAACACACCACTCTCCCCACTAGATAGATCAACTCGGCAAAAACTCAACAGAGAAACCGCAGATTTAAACAGCTGCATAGATCAACTAGACTTAACAGACATTTACCGAACATTTCACCCAGCAGCATCAGAATACACGTTTTTCTCAGCAGCACATGGAACGTTTTCTAAAATAGACCACATTTTAGGCCACAAAGCAAACTTGTCTAAATTCAGAAACATTGAAGTTATACCTTGCATTCTCTCTGACCACAAGGGAATAAAGTTAGAACTCAACACCAAAAGCCACCAAAGAAAGTCCGGTATCACATGGAGGCTGAACAACACACTGCTGAATCATGAGTGGGTCATGGAAGAGATTAGAAAGGAAATTCAAATGTTCATGCTATTCAACAAAAATGAGCACACAAAGTACCAGCTCCTCTGGGACACAGCAAAGGCAGTATTCAGAGGCAAGTTTATAGCTCTGAGCTCCTACGTCAACAAATTGGAGAGATCTGAAACTAACAATTTAATGACACATCTAAACCACCTTGAAAAAGAGCAGCAACATAAACCCCAATCCAGTAGACGGAAAGAAATAATCAAAATAAAATCAGAATTAAATGAATTAGAATCCAAAAAAACTATAGAAAGAATCAACAAAACAAAGAGTTGGTTCTTCGAAAAACTTAACAAAATTGACAGACCCTTAGCAAATCTTATCAGAAAAAGAAGAGAACACACCCAAATTAATAAACTCAGAGATGAGAATGGAAACATCACCACGGAAACAACCAAGATTCAGAACATTATAAGGGAATACTTCTCAAAACTTTATGCTAATAAGTTCGAGAACTTGACAGAAATGGACCTCTTCCTAGCAAATATTGACATGCCAAAACTAAACCAAGATGAGGCAAACTATCTTAACAGGCCCATATCAAGCATTGAAATAGAAACAGCAATAAGAGACCTCCCAGCTAAGAAAAGTCCAGGACCAGATGGTTTCACAGCGGAATTTTACAAGGCCTTCAAAGCAGAGCTCACACCAATTCTCCTCCAACTCTTCAATGAAATTGAAAGAGAAAGCTCACTACCGAACACATTCTATGAAGCCATCATAACCCTCATCCCAAAACCAGGCAGGGACTCATCAAAGAAAGAGAATTATAGACCCATTTCTTTGATGAACATTGATGCAAAACTTCTCAACAAAATTTTGGCCAACCGACTTCAACAATTCATCCAAAAAATCATACACCACGATCAAACAGGATTTATTTCAGGGATGCAAAGCTGGTTCAATATACGCAAATCAATTAATATTATTCATCACATCAACAGGAGCAAGAATAAGAACCACATGGTTATCTCAATAGACACAGAAAAAGCATTCGACAAGATCCAACACCCCTTTATGATGAAGGTTTTGGAAAAATTAGGAATCCATGGAACATTCCTCAATACAATAAAGTCTGTATATGACAAACCTACAGCCAGCATTATACTCAATGGTGAAAAACTAAAGCCATTTCCTCTTAACTCAGGAACAAGACAAGGATGCCCACTCTCTCCACTCCTCTTCAATCTAGTATTAGAATGCCTAGCTACAGCAATAAGACAAGATGCAGACATAAAGGGGATCCAAATAGGGAAAGAAGAAATAAAACTCTCCCTCTTTGCAGATGACATGATCTTGTATTTAAAGAATCCCATAGACTCCACTCCCAAATTACTCAAGCTGATTCAAAACTTTGGCAAAGTAGCAGGTTATAAAATTAACCCCCCAAAATCAATGGCTTTTCTGTATGCCAACAATGAGAAAAGTGTGGCTGAAATTAGGAAAGCAACTCCATTTGTAATAGCCCCACAAAAAATAAAATACCTCGGAATTAACTTAACTAAAGAAGTGAAGGACCTCTATGATGAAAACTTTAAAATCTTGAAAAAGGAAATCAACACAGAACTTAAAAAATGGCAAAACCTCCCATGCTCCTGGATTGGAAAGATTAACATCGTGAAAATGGCAATACTTCCCAAGGCTATCTACAAATTCAATGCAATACCTAT